GCTATTAACAAATGTTCATGAACACCTGGTTGTCAGGCAAGAGACTCGGTCTAATCTTACGACTTTGTCTGCATAAAGTTCAAGGAAATGAACTTGAGTTAGAATCGATGAAAATTGTAAATTATAAATTTGTCCGGTCAAAACATCCCGGATAATTTCTCGTGGCTTGGCACTCATCGATTAACTCAGTAAATGGGCTCATCAAACTGGATCACGTATGCACGCCACTGCCACGACAGTATCCAAGATCGCCACGGAAGAAAGATGGATTCGTGAATTGAATACCTATCGGAAAACCGAAATTCAGACGAAAGAGCAATCACATACTCACCACGCTTGTCAGCTAAGTGGTGAACTGAGTTGAAAATAACAGTCACAGGGGGCTAAAACTAACTGAAGAAGAAATTATTTAAGTAGAGTAAAAAATGCCCATTCCACAAGCACTGAAGATGTCACCTCAGATGAAAATAAATTCACGCTTTGATGTAGTAGCATTGCAAGAGTTGCGTGCACAGTGGTGTTGTTGTTTTCTTTCCCACTATCTCTCTACTCGTTCTCAGCAATAATTTTCCGCTAGCCAACTTTGACTGCTGTATTTTTACTTCACATTACAAGTAAATGGTTTCCGTGTACTACACCATAGACCCATTAATACAAGATCTTGCATGAAAGTGTATGCTGACCTGGAAACCTAACTACCGATAGGCAAACACTTTTGTACACAAGCGCAAAGTATAACCATAAGACACATCTTTATGCACATATCAGGATGCTTCAAATTTATGGACGATAGCTGTTCATTCGATATGCATTATCGATCAATGTGAATAATTTAGTGACAAAACCAGGAATTCTTCTTGACTTCCTTATGAATCATGGATGTAGAGGATCTATGGTTTTTAGTTTTACTTTTGTGTTTGTTACGGCGTCGTCAGTTTGCTTGTATAGGTGTATGAGAGAGAGAAAGACTAACCCACACACTCACACATACTTGCTGCGCTCCACCGTCGACAAGGCAGAATTCGCAAAGGCAGTATGATTCAAGTATGACCGGTTTTTATCTTACTTTGTACCGAAACAGAATAGCCGATGCGGAGAGCTCACTCACTGCACCTTGAAACCGCTTCAACACCGAAATAGGCATGTCAGCGAATGGCGTCTCAGTTTGACTGGAGCCAAATATTTTTCCCGTATGTGTGTATGACCAATTCGCAAATTAAAACCTATTTTAATTTTAATAAACATTCCTTTTGGCAACAGACTGGAGCAATTGTGTCGAACCTTTTAGTGCAGTACCGATATGAGATTGTTTGCAATATGGTATAGATAAAAGTTCGTTTTTCATTCCGCAGGATTGACTTGTTCTAAGTTATTTTGTATTATTAGAAAAATTGTTCAGTTTGGATTAAACTCTTTCTGTGAAATTGTTTACATTCTTTCAAGAGATAGGGAAAAACATTGGAACGATGATTTCGGGATTTGCTTTCAGAGGCCCTAAATTTTTTTAAATTACTGCATGTGTCATATCATCCGGTCTGAGACGTGACTCTGTCAGATGGGGACCGGGGGGGGGGAGTACACAATGTTAATAATGTGTAATGCCAGTTGTGCAACAAACTGTGTCGAGAATACCTGCTGAGCTACTGCCACTGAAAGTCGGGCGGAACCAACAATGCTGCCTACTTTGCTTCTCCCCTATTCATCCTATCAAAAATAAGTGACAAATGTAATATATTTTGGATCCAATGTACACCAGGACGAATGCTCTAAACAATCGAATGTGGATCGAGTCTCGGGGTGGGCTAGAATCGTCAAAGAACAGAACATGCTCCGCGGAGAGAGGGTCAACCGATAATCTGTAACGGAGGAAAAATGCAAACACCGTGAACCTAACTGTCCGATGCAATTTGAACACAAATCAAAATGAATGACAAGTTTTCAAGGGCGTTACGCAGGAACTACATCGCCAAAAACGACGATCACCAAATCAAGAATGATGTAGTATACTTTCTATCTCCCTGAGGTCCCGAATATCATAAATTTATTTTGTAAACTTCATCCTTTCCGAACTGTGACTCTCAACTCTCGTACTCAAGTCAGCAAAAGACCTATCAAATGAAAGTTTGAAATTTGGGATCACTTTATTTCTCTTTGGCGTAAAATGATCTATCTAATCTGATTTGTCTACTAGTCAGTAGGTGACATTCAAGTGAATAACCGAGCTGTTTTTCTGTTCATTGCACTGTCAATAAGCGGCCTGATGAACAACATGCGGTTCTTTTATCGTTCCCCAATGCCGATCCGAGGATCACCGGGGATCAATTGGGTTCATCTAGTGTACGATACCGGGTCGACTACCACAAACCTTACTAGTTAATTGGTTTCTGTGACACCTGGAAAACAACTGACAGCAAGGCTACCATAAACATTTCAAGTAGCTTCTTGCCAGGTTGAGTGACTCGAGTTACTTCAGACTACCTAATAAGTAGGCGGACAGGGTTGGGAAAGACATTGGCACAGTATCACGTCTCGAGTGAGGGTGACAAAACGAAGAACAGCCGAGTTATTTTCATCAAGATACAAAACAGAAATGGTTAACTTCTTTTTTCATGTGTAATGCAAGCAGAACCGAATCCAGCAGTTTCTTTGTTGTCTACTCACCCTATTGTTAATCTCATTTGGAACGAATAATTTCTCCTGATGCGATCTGTGTATGGCTACAACATCTGCCAATTTGTGTTTTGGCGCAATCTGACCGAATCCAATGCAATCGGCTCAGCCCAGCCCACCTGATCCACGGGACACAGAAATACACTCACGCGCACGAACGCAACTCCCATGCTAAGCAAAGAATACTAGCGGGAGAACGGAAATTGCTTGTGCGTGATTGCAAATTTCCTTAACCCGTCTTGAACTACACTCCCGGTTATCCTTTGACCACACATACACACACATACACAACAACGGGAACACTTGAGTTTTCTTTTTCGGAAAAGGTTAACAACATTCACAAGTATGAGATGAGGTCTGACGACCGTAAGGCTGGCGGGTTTGTGGCCAGTGGTCTTTGTGTCATCAACTCAATCACTGCCTATCAAACTTGAACAATGACGAAATAGTGAAAGAGAGGTTGCGTGTATAGTATTCCTCTGTCATAGAGCAGACAGTTTCAGGCACGCACAGGAGCACGTGCCAGGGTATTTCGGTTGTCCATCATTGTGTCCCTTGAATTTTCTAATCGGAGTTGTTGTTGTTGTTGCATTTTTAAGGTGCTGATCGTTGAGATGATGATAATGACTTTGAACATGATGGTGGTCCCGGTTTGTGGTGGGTGGTGGGCAATGACCAGTGTTGCATACAGTGATGTGAATTCAGTCCTTGGAATAGATTTATACACACGTATTTAGTAGAGGCAGTGGTAGTAGTGTGCAGGGATTGCTCCGCACACTATCCCGTTCGTGTGCACATTCAATCCAGGGAGTTTTGTTCATTTCAGCTCCCACAGTCCCGTTCACTTCCTCCTCTGACAAACGTTCACGCAGGTTCTTCTTCTCTGTCCAATTGTATGCATCTTTTCCGTACTTAGCGTGTCTGCCTGTGTTTTGATTCGAATGTTAGAATATTGCAATTTCCGACAGCTGGAAACACGTGCAGGGATGGAGGTGATTTTTAAGAAGATTCAGTGTTTGCTTGTCTCGACTGTCTAGATGACACGATTCACAATCTGCTATCGAACAAGATTTTTTCTCCATCAGCATGGCCTCCACCACTAGCACAATCAAAACAACCACCATCACAACAACAACATCTCCAAATATTTGGCCTATATGCCAGGTCCTTCCTTGTTAAACCGCTGCACGAAAAGCCTCTACAATTTTTACGAACACACACTCAGAACAGACAACACACACGTCCGGCTCATTTCCGTTTGGGATTTGGGACGGACTAACTGCATCAGATTTGTCTGAAGAGGGTTCCTCTCCCTGCTTCCTGCCTCCTCGTCCTCCTCCTCCTCCGTCCCGGCACACCCCCACATCACGGCGAGTTCAATGAATCCGCGATCCAATTCATTTCAATTTTATCATCGCATACGTTCCTCCAGTCACTTCAACTTGCCACACGGATGGCTCCAATTTGTCAGACATGGAAGAATAGACTCATACAATCAGTCAGTGTGACCAGAGAGGGAGAAAAATAGATTGAGTCTACACCGTATTCTCCCTTGACTGTCTCCAGGATGTATGTGATTGCACCAAAAATGGTACACAACATTCTGTTTCCAGCAGTGGTGGTGGTGTTGGTGGTTAGTGCAAAGTTCCAGAATGCGATTACCGAGGCTACCAGTGTTTCCTAATTTGTACTGACTTTGGACTTTGCTATGAGCTCAAATGGTTTTGTGGTTGATATAAACGAATTCAGTGCATATTTAACTTAAATGTTGGAGTAGAAAATCAATTGAGTTACCATCCATCAATAAAAATATGTTGTCATGAAAATCACTAATGCAAAGAGTGCATGCGCGAAAAGTTAAACCCCGCCACTTTTTACACACAATATTGACCTATTTTGATGAAACCAATTCCTTATCCGCATCTAGGCTCATTTTGTGCAAACATTTTCTCCGTTAGGACGTAAAACCTTAAATGAACTTTCTGACGCTTTTAACTCTCGTTCATGACAAGGAGACCGCAATACGTTTTTTGCAAAGCCACGGAGTGATCCATCAGCAACCTTTATGCAACAATGGCCACCAAATGACACTTTCAAAAGTTTCTGACAGGTGACGGTGTAGTGCCCGACAGTGTCGACAAGAAATCGGTCTTCAAAAGGGAACATGACTTGAGCTGTCTAGGATGGAGTTTAGGACAGTAATTCTATTCATTTACCGCTGGTCCAAAAGTTTGGCAAAAATCAAATTCTACTCACAGGAATTATCTATTAGCCACACGACCGCTGTTGACTGGAAGAACTTTCTTCTCGAAGTTTGCGCCTGGCGGCTTTTGCAGACTCCAACAGTTATCGGCGGCTCAGGTCTACACGTCGAGATCGATGAAACGCTAATATCTCGCCGTAAAAACCCCACAGGGCAAGTCCTTCTCCAGCAGTGGATTTTCGGAGGGATCTGCCGGGAAACTAAAGAGGTGTTCATGTATGTAGTACCAGATCAAACTGCGGCCACTTTGATGGACACAATTCAGGCCTGCAGCGCTCCCGGCTCAATCATTATCTCCGATTTGTGGGCACCATACCAAGGAATTGAAACGATGATTGACATGAATTATACCCATGAAATGGTAAATCATACCGAAAACACACAAACTATCGAACCTCTTTGGCACGTCTACAAGATACAAAATAAATGCCAATGCGGCACACACCGATCTTCAGTGGACAGCTAATTGTGTGATTTCGCTTGGAGGCAAAGGTACCGAAAAACGGACCTTTTCATGCGAATCACTAATGACATATCCCAATTTCACCCTCTTCAAGAAAAACTAACAATACAAATTTCATATCCTTTTTTTCTAGTTTGTTTCTGGCGGGGGTTAATAATTTGGGGGGGGGCTTATCTGGAAAAGATCCCATGGTTCTACCAGAGCAATCTCAAGAGACATTACTGGACTATCCTCTACCTGACTGATACCAGACAAAGTAAATCTGTACGGAAAGGTCAAGTGTACTATAGAACACAAGAAACAAGAAACCACTATTATACAACGGAACTCAAACATAAAAATGAGCAGTTCACAAGAAAAAGAAACTCTCTGGCTACAATGAAAATTTAACGCTATTTTCTCAGTGTTACCAGACAAATTATCAAAGCAGAACCCCATCCATTTATGGGTTTTCAGTCCACTATCTAGGTAAAATCGAACGGCAGTTTAGGCCGACCAAATCCCGTGTGGTTCACCAATCATGATTAAGGTGCGCAGCCTGGATGGTAACCACCCGCCCCCCTCACCACCACCGATCGGTCACAACTTAACAGAGACAGGGTATCATCGAAGAACGTGACCCAGGCGTTCAACACATATTCTTCCTACAAAACCGCGAACCGTATGAGTTATTTGTAACAAACAATCACGCTAACTGTCACTTGTTATGTTTCCTTCTGTTTTTATTGTAGTACGTATCTGACAAAATAGCACGAGCATCATCCTCTTACCGGTTTTCCCTCTGTAGCTTGCTCTTCCGGAGGTTATCTGAATGACTTCATTTGTGTAATGACTTTATTTTGGTTTGCAGTTCACTCACTAAAACAACAGTAGTTTAATCAATTTATTCATGAAATAGAAACGTACATGTAGATTGCGTATATAGAAATTTTCGTGCTTCATAGTTGAACGTGGTCTGATTAGAAGGGCATCGTATTCACCGTCGTTCGCATATTCGCTGCGTTTTGCAAAAGGAAAGGTAGTATTCTCATTCGGTGAACCAAGTACAATCTAACACGTTTGTCAGGTGCGGGCTTTTGTGCGTTTTCAAAAACCTTCATTTTATTCAGTTACTCAAAATTGGAGCACTTTCTGTGAGTAAAAACAACAAATGCCTGGGTAACGTTCTAAGTAATTCATTGTCAGATTTGTAAGCGGTTGCGTACAGATTATGGTCAAGATGTAACTCGAAAATCCTTCTATGTTTCGCCATAGGAAACCACATGTGTTCTCTATCGAAGTGTACTGCCACACAAAGCGCGTAGATCGAACAAATTCACCTACCTATCTGACGAGTATGCTTTTTGAATTCTCCACCTTCCACTGTACACATTGGGTCGTTTCACAAGGAAGCGAAAATCTCCTTCATTTTATTCATCATCGCAGATCGATGAATCTCGCACGCGGTTATGAGTGAACGAATATTCACAAACACTGGGTTCTCTGATTTGCTGCGACGACGGTGGAAATTGTTTGTTCATGCAACTCCTCAGAATCATCGAGGTTTTTAGTTTGTGAAGTGAAATATCCACTTCGGTGGTGCCGTTTTATGTACAAGGAACAGACGCAATATGATGTTTATAAGGATAGATTGATTTAGCTGGAAACGAATGTACTGGTTCCATTTGTTTCTGGAATGCATGACTTGGTAATGCATAATTCATGATGAGTTAGTCAAATCTCCTTTTCAATTTTCAAGTTATCCCTTGAGATTCGGTTATACGGACGGTGTATTTGGAATTCCTTCGATTTATTCCGAGAGAAAAATCACCAAGAACGACGAACTCAGTCCAACGTGGAGTCCGAACTTCGTCTCTTTTCTTTGTTTTGAATTTTCGTTTCCCTTTGAAGATCCGCAATTACTTTGTGGTCATGGTTTGTGTTGCCCGGTTCTCGCTTTACTCTATATTCCCTCCGAGCTATTTTTCTGTTTGTATATATTTCTCACAAACTATTCCTTCCTATTTCTTTATAATGGGACGAGATCTAACAACTATCGACTTAGATGAAAAATACTCCTTTAAGATGAACTATCGGGGTTTCTCTCGATTTTTCACAACTCGTGCAATCTTCATTCAACAAGTTGGAGCGTGTGAATACATTGTAGGGTTCTGGTTTTTCAGCCCGGTCCCCGTTTGACAGAAACAGATGAGGTATATTCTGACCCGGTAGACGACGAAAAATCCCCTTTGTTCCCACACTGATTTTTCATCATCATCATCATCATCATCATTTGTTCCATATATGAAAATTTGTTCCAACACGTATGGGCGCATGAAGTAAAAATAGCCTGTGTTTCTCGGCCATTGGCGTGTTGTTGCGCAATCTGTCTGACGGCTCATTGTACACAAAAAGCTGGACTGTGCCTGGACACATGTAACAAATGTCTGATCGGCGCACAGGGTCCCGCCGTGTTTTACTATTTTTAGTTCCTGGCGATAGGCAACACCACTTGTTTTCTATGAAACTCGATTAGTCAGTCAACATTTAGGCTACTTAATGGATCAGGAAAAACGAGCAACCCGAATTAGGACTGACTCTGGAGCTCAGAGCATATGCCCTGGGTAAATTGCTTGTACGCAGCGGAAATCGAACTGAGTTTTGGAAACTTCTGGAAACCGGACAATAGTGATAATGATTGTCACATTTTAGATCAGACTTCGTACAGAATAACTATGGGGTTGTATTGGAAAAAACGGCCATGGACCCCTATGCATGAAGGTCACTGTGGCAAGGGTAACCAGATTACATAATAATTAGTTGACTCTACGTGGGTGATAAAATAGAAGAATGTCAGAGATGTCAGTACGATCTCAAAGCCTAGCAGGTGGAACGTGCTCTACACACTGAAGAAAGTGACCTCCAGTGCATGGACTCCCATGACATCGAGACTGTCGACCCGCTTACATCACCATCACAGTACGTGCCTCTAAGTAGCTCACATGAACTAAATGTTAGGTGGCGAAACTAGTCTGACAAGCAGGACGTAGCGAGAGGAAATGTGACAACACGAAGCAATCCATCGTTTCCAAATCCAAATGGAACCGGGTGTTGAACATGTAAAAGCCTTTTCACAAATGACCTTGCTGGTCTGTTGAAGGCACACCCTTATTTCGACACTCCCATCGCACGAAATGTAAACCGAACAAATGCGGTGCTTGCCCCACCCATTTGCTTTCTATTACGCTGCGCGTTACCGACCAAATTGATGGTATAAAATTTGAAATTTTCATCGGTGTACAAACAATTAGCTTGAAACACACATTTCAGTCCACTCATCTCAAGTATGGGTCAAGCAATGGATTGCCCGAATTTTGAGTGATTTCCGGCTCCGGATTGGTGACG